TGGTTGAAAGCAATCCCCTACTGGCAGTGGGAAAAAAAACAACCCAAATGGCCATGCACACAGGTGGTTGAAAGCAATCCACTGATATCAGCTGGAGAACAAACCCAAGTAGCCATGCACACAGGTAGTTGGAAGCAATCCTCTACTGCCAGCTGGAAAAACAAACCCAAATAGCCATGTACAGGTCGTTTGAAGCAATCCCCTGCTACCACATAGACCCACAACCCTATTAAGCCATGCACACAGGTGGTTGGAAGCAATCGACTGCAACCAGAGAGAAACCAAACTCTATTAAGCCATGTATACTGGTAGTTGGAAAACCAACCCCGAGTAGCCATACATACAGGTAGTTAGGAAAACCTAACCCCCTGCTTCAATCTCATGAAGCCATGCAATGATGCATAACAGAATTGACACGAATTCCTGCACCCTTTTAAACATTTATAACACTGCAAATTGATATGCGCATGAACTTTCCACAAAGGAGAAACCATTGATATGCAACAAGCACATGGTTTCCATAATAAACACAGATTAGAATACATCTGACCAACCCTACTTTATTTTTACACTGATCAATGACGTCAAAAATCCTTGAATAAATTTGAACAAGTCTATATTTAAATAACCATTACAGGATGTATTCTCTCATCACCTGTGCCAATATGGGATTTTTATTTCTTTTTTTATCAAAATAAGTATAAATACGAAGAAGATGAGCCACGGCATTTTTGTTTGTGCATAAAAAAATACAATATTACCATTTCCTTTAAAAAGCTCACTACAATACGACTCCATCTGATTTGGGGATTTCTACAAAATCAGTTCTTTTTAAAGGGCACACTGACACATGATAAATTAATAAAATGATTACATTACGAAATCTAAACTAAACATATACACATTCTTTGGGTGCCTGAAATCCTTGATTAGGTTGCATAATTACACTGACATAGCAACATTCTTGGCAAACCACTCATGAATACTGAACTAAATTTCCTATCACTTCATGTGTTGGGTTTAAACTAGGTATAATAAGGTTTACATTAATCGCTGACTCAGACATTTTCTTTACAAAACAGCCAGGTTTACTTATGCTACTCATGAGTTTGTGTTAGTAACAGACAACTAATTAAAAAAAAATACTGTAAAATACTTTATTTTCGTTTGGAATTAATTTTCGCTAAAGGAATGATTCAGGGAAAATAAAATCCAGCGATTATACCTTTTTTCACATATTTTACCTTCAACTTCAACAAAAATCAGTGAAAATAAATTTCATACAAAAACACCAGAAAGTCTTTTCAGCAAAAATTAATTCCAGCTACAGTTGTTGGAAGTGGTTTTCATTACTCTGGTGTCGGGTATTCTGAATCGCTTTAATTTGGGGGTAGAAACTATTTTTTTGCATGTGTGACATGTAAATCATGAAATTTTGTATTTTCTCTTGGGTACTACGACAGTAAATGTCAAAATATTTTTCAAAATTTTGTCTTGATGAATGCCAATAAAATCCCAAGAATTCTAGCAGTGATGTGAAACAGTTCACAGTACTTTAATAATACTGCTATTATATAAACTCCAGTAGATGAGCTGGCAATTTAGCAGGTGTTACAAATCGCCACTATCACGATTAGGATTTTTTTATGACATCATACCAGGTAGCTTTACATTATTACAATAATATAAGCCTTGATTCGCAATAAAATTAATTTCAACAAAAAGCCTCAAAAATTTAATTAGCTTTTAATTCTGATGGTGATTTCTAATAATAGTAGCAACATCATATTTGATTCGAAGGAGGGTCTAGAAACAATATGATGCTGTGGAGGGGGGGGGGTGTCATTTTTTAAATAGATTCCTCCGTCTGTTTCGCCGCCGAGAATAGATTATTTGCTACAGGATTTGTCTGCACTCTGAAATCGAAGAAGGCTGTGTTGATTGGCTACACTTTTAACGAGTAAATTATGTATTCAAATCATTCAAATGCCCTTATTTGCATAAGATACCAGAAGTAAACAAAATACAGTCTCGGGAGAACAGGAATCATCTAGCAAATATACTGGAGGTCTAATGAAGCAGAGAAACAGAGAGGAAGCTGGGGCATAAATATTCATGCTCAAACCCAAATTAATAACTTATTGTTTGATGACCACACCAAGAACCAATTATTGCTTTCATAAACATACCTGTACATGCCACAATAAGAAAACTTGTCCAATAATCAATTAAATTACAAATGACACCTTGAAGTGAATTTTGAATCAGAATTTAATGAAAACGCTGGCTGTCAAACCAAAATGCATCATAATAAGTCAAATTTATAATTTTTGGACTAAAAAATGGGTGACCTCCTTAACTATTAAGTTCAAGCCCTACAATGTCTTAATTTACCTTGCTAGGACAGGTAAATAATTGAGATAGAACATTTATTCTTAAAACTGTAATTTTTAATTCCTACCCCTATGCATGTCAGCATAGATAAATGCAATTAGCATGTTCTTAATTTATGGGAACCAGGTTCTCAGTGGATATGCCTGTAGCATCATTGAATGTACAGAGGTGGGTCAATTCACATCTACCAGGCTTGTTTTGTTATGTAAATATTAAGAGTGACAAGAACATTCACACATGTGAAAACTTGTAGTCACATTGCTGAAGCTCAGCATAAGATGCCTAAGCTGTCATTTTTAACACCAATAGATTAACATGTCACTGATTTATTGCACACATGTGTAAAGCCAAACAATGTTTCACTATCCAACACTGGAATAGCATGGTTTGATTCTAGTATTCACATTGAAAGAGGGCATCAAATTCCAGGTCCAAAAATTATAAAATTGATAAGGATTGATGTTGCAAATAAAAATATTCTTCATCATTAAGACATTCAGATTTGGCATCAAGGCAATTGCCTCTGAATTTTGAGCCCTGATAACATTTTGTTGAATTCATGATAAGTCAAATAACTGTTTGAAAGAATAATAGAATGTCTCCGGCAAACATTAATTAGGACAAATGCACCTAGTTATCTTCCTAATCAGTCACAAAATGCCAATTTAGCCAAGTCTATCTTTGAGCCATAAGTTTAGAATTCTGCGATAGCTGATAATATAGAAAGAGTTTCCAATGATATGGTGTGTTATACAGAGACAATACACTCCAGATTTTAAAATACACGAGCCAGAGATTGATTAGTGCACTTGCTGAGCTGAGTCAGACCTATTTTTATTAGAAAGGTTGTCTTGTCAGTGAGCAAACCGATATATTTACAGGCAGAATTCATAACAAATGTCTGGCAATTTTTATAACTCATTTATGGCTATGAATAAAATCTGTTTTTTTTCGACAAATAATAAAATTTCTTAGCCAAAGTAAATTCAGATATAAAAAAAATGAAGCAAACTTTCAATTTTTTTGGAAAGCAGCCAGCTTACCCATTTTCATATTCTTGGCACAACAAAAGGCATTCCTTCATCTTTATAAGTATTTATAAATGTCAATGGCAGTTGAATCAAGTCAGCAAAACGAGAACAGTGTGCAAAAACGTCATTTTAAAACAATCAAATGCTATTTAATCAGCCAATAGAGACTGCTTGAAATGTGAAATTTATAATTATTCATAAAAATGAAGGTAATGCCTTTGTTGCATACTAGAGTACAAGATTCATGTACATTAAAATAATTATTTTAATAACTGATACAATAGTCCCGTCTCATCAGCCGGCATGGGACTAGATAGAACTAAATAAACAATGAATTCAATCATGCGCTTATTTTTTATATATTTTTTTCAAGTAATTGATGAGCCTATTAATAAAATTTCTCAATATAGCATAACATTTCAGTAGAAATACATTATTAAAGTAGAGATAACACTACAAGGTCTGGCAGGGGCATAACCACCAAATACGGTACTGACAAATATTTTGTCATTAAAGTATTAAAGATAAGCGATAGCATTGAATATTTGTACAATTTTCTAATTGTACCTGATGTAGTTGCCATGGCTACTGATAATAAATTTGATAGGATTTTTTTGCAAGAGATCAGGGTAAAACTTGTGATGCATTATAATGCTGAAAACTGACTGCACTCATTGTGGGAAAATAGATCCACTTATGAATAAAGTATTGAAAAACGGTTTTAGTTGAAAGCAAAGGTAAAATAAAAGGAACAAGAAACCCCTCGCACGCCTCGGCCATTGACCCCTTTTTATTTGAAGCTCAATGATTTCGCGATCAGCTGTGCATCTACCATGTTCTTTCAGAAGCCTTTCAGAAAACAAATACTAGTAAGGTCAATAATACAACCAGGTCTGTCTGTTTTCGGGGTATACTGTGGACAACAATTTCAACTTGTTAATGCGCGAGTAAAGGACCCCAAATGATAAATGTATTTTTCGAAAGTTAGAGTGGTTTTACAGAGTTCAAAAGATTTTCCTAATGGCGGCAGTATAGAAGTGTCACTACTCAAAAATAGGGCGATGATGCATTACAATTGCTATATATTGAAACGAATAATTCATGTAATGCCAGTTCACTGTCAGGCACAAGTTAACAAGCAAACAACTTTCTTTCAAATACACCGAGGCCGCCATATTGAACTTCGAGGTACTGCACTGAATCAGTGAATGAGCACGCGAGTACCCACCGGACGGCCCCAATGTTCAAGAATTAAAAGACAGCCGATAAAAATGCTCAGTGCACGTCCGCAAACTTGATAAATAATGACTTATTCTTCCAAAATAAAAAGAAGCATACATTCTACTCAATTAAACAAACGTCTTCAACTGAAAGCCGGCCTAAGAAATGACACTCGAAGGGAAGGATCGGGCACGCTCGCTGAACATTTGAACCGGTGAACTTGAAAAATCACCAAAAATCAAGTAGAAATGACGCTGAAAATTCTTGCATCAGTACTTAAGACATTCATCTCTCATTCTAGCATAAAACTGTTTAGAAATATAAAGGAATAATAGATTAAATATAAAGATTTACCGGGTCTTGCTTGATCTCTAGTTTGGCCGCCATGTTGAATACGGGCGAAGGAGAATGTGTGTGCGCTGTGACGCTAGTGTTCACGTGGTACGCCTGTCAATCATTATGCAAATTTTATTATCTAAGTGATTCACGCTATCGTGACATTTGCCTGGCTTTGCCGGGAAAATTCCACACTGTTGCACTGGGTCCCACTGTACTGACATTTCGTAATACCAAAAACGACAGGTGCTATTCAGATTATAAATATTTACCAATAATTTTGTGTTACAAATCAAAGCATAATCAACCTTGCTCGGTCGTTTAGGGTTAAATTATTTTTGTGGGAGGGGCTTCGCACATGTAGCACTGGAATTCCGTGCGTAAAACGATTGATAAGTTGCAAACTGTGTACACACATTTGCTATGGGATAAAGGGCAAGTCCTGTCCGTCCTTGGGACGCTTATCTGGCTGCACATCTACGATAAGATTTAGGAGAAAAATCGATAGTACGGTTCCTCTGACCAGGTGACCCAGCCGAGAGCAATAAATAATAGCGCAAAATAAAAATACCATTATACAGTAATATATATTTGGGTCATATGCCACGGCGTGCAACGAATCACCGTGGGGAGTGTGGTTGAATATAGGTCAAGGTGGCCTGACTCTTCACTGCCTGCTGCTATTATTGTAAGTTTATGCTGTAATTTTACGCTTTTTTCCCATTAATAAAATACATAGTGAAAATATATATCCCGTGTAACAGGTACTCCCATTATAAATTTTACTTGTATAAATATTACATTAAGCAGGGAATATGCGATTTTTTACGAGTTTATCGTTGATTTGACTATTTGTTGCAGTTTTCACAATTTTAATTATCAATAAAGAAGTTAAAGGCTGGTGGTCTGCGCGTGGTCGTCGCTCCGCGTCCTGTTCGATATTGGACTCATAGCGACGTACACAACGCGTGAAATACATTGTTTATTTACATGAAATTCGAACACGCGCTGCACGACGACCACCGCCCTTTAAATATGGTAAGAATTATTTACTAAATGCTTTTCACGAACGCATCTTTGTTGCTATAAACTGATAGAAACACTATATTTCTAAGGACGCAATGAAGTTATTATTCCTATTATTATAACATGTTAATACAGTATTAAGGTCAAACACATTTCTTGAATCTTGAAGTTTATTTATCTCAATACTTAAAAATTGGACAAAAGTGCATATTCTAGAGGCATAGCTATACCAACCTGTTAGAGCATGGCCAACGAAAGTACATGTATAGCAACATTCTCGGACAATGACAATGTTATATCCAAACAGCAAATCGGTTTCAGAAACGTTTTCCGTACAACGGACAATCTACTTATCATGAAAACAAAAAATATCAATGATCTACATGTTATAGACTGGCAAAATCGGGACTTGTCTTTTGTTTTTTGTTTTTGTGATCGCGAAAACTAGCATAAGGCCAGAATTTTTTTATTCCTTGTTTCTCTAGTTTGTAAAAAGCAATTTTTTTGAGGAGGGCGGAAAAAAAATAAAATTAATTCTTTCTTTCCATTAGATTTGTGTGATTCTCAAAGAATTTAAAGTGAGATCATTGATCGGAGAGAAGAAATGAAATAAAATGTTATTCCATGTATAACCTTGTTTCTCATCTGTGCGAGACTTCGGTACTCTGATTATGATACTCCCACGAAAATGCAACTTGGATTTGTTTGGCCCCATACGCTGATGATCTAGTTATTTGAAATCAGGTCAGATTCCTGGACCATCTCTCCCTCACTCTCAAAAAAAAACAAAACACTGAGACAACACAGATACCAAACAACATTATAATCATAGTTTGATAAATTAACCTTTTCACCACCAGGCTTTCTGTC